ATTCGCGGCGAGCGTGAGCGACTTTGCCAAGGATGGCGAGATACGCTTCCTCCAAGGGAGGTTGCGCTATCTGGCTGACGTGGCGGGCATCACGCAGGCGAGGACATTTCTGGAGGTGAGTGCTTTCCCTCTGTTGCCTCTTCTTTTAAATTTTTCTGACCGCGAACAGATGAGGGTTTCAAGCCCATCGGATGATATTGAGAGGGACAGAGGGATGGGCTACCACTGGTAGCGGTGACGAGACCGTTGGTGATATTACGTGATGATGATGATGATGATGATGACGATGGCCGTCATGCGGTTGTGATGATCAGGAGAAAATCCAAATGGTTCGGGTTTTATGATGAGCTACGTAGCGTTCTTGTTCTACGAATGTCACTTTCTTAGGAACCATTATATTATCAGCAGGATGCGCCGGGTGCTCAATCACCCAAGTTAAAAAGCCTTGTATATGCCCACATGCATCATGCAACCGATTAAAAGCAAAATTCAAGTCGGAACACGTAGCAAGATCTTCAGAGCAGCCGCCCAAGGTGAATTGGAGGAAGTACTAGCAGATGGAAGACTCCAATAGCGGCCAAAAAAAAAGATTTCTCTTTTTGCAGCGCCCCGTGTCGAACCGGTGATCCCTCCACGCGCCTTTTTAGCTTGCGCGCCCTCACATCTAGAGGCATGTGTACGGGTATTTATTAAGCGGGCCTCTGAACCACCACACCATGCGTCACGGTATGGTGGTTGTTGGGGAGACGGGGGCACTGACGCGACTTTAAGGATCTGGGGGCTGTTGCCTCGTGGATGGGTGGCCAGGCAGGATGCTCTCGAAGAAAGAAAGGCGCCTCTCAACGGCGAAGCTGCGCATGGCATGGCAGGACGCCGTGGAGCACAACAGCCCGACCCGGGATCTGCCAGGCTTCCCAGCTCCGTGCCGCACATAGCAAGTCCAGCACATGAGCAGGACGTGGCTCGCCGTGCACGGATCCAACCAGAGACATCCATTCATGACATTCATATACAAGATCTTTTCGGCGAGGGAACGCCGGCGGTTCACGGCCCCCGCCGCCCAAGCCCGATCCTCTCCTCCCTCGTCCGCCCCCCCCTCGCTATACCCTCAGGGCCCGGCGTCGGCGTGAGCATGACGCCCGCCCCGCGCCCCCGTCCTCCAGCCCCCCTCAGCCCACGGCCCCGAACGCTGCCGTCAGCGCCCGCCAGATCGCCCGCGTCCCCCTCGTCGTCGTCGTCCTCGCTCGACCCGACAAGCATCTCCGTGTCCTGCTCCGTATAGCTCTCCTCGAACCGCGGCTGCGGCGGCGGCGGCATCATTTGTCTCTGCTGCTGCTGCTGCTGGTGATGATGATGATGATGTCGATCCGGAAACGGGCTCTCCGTCTGGGGCGCATACGGCGACTGCGTCTGCGGCTCGTACGGACTCTGCTGGTATTGCGCTTGCGCTTGCGCTTGTGCCTGTGCCTGTGCTTGTGCGTGGGCCTCGGCTTGCGCCTGCGCCTGGAGCTGCGCCTGCTGTCGCTGGTAGTGCGCCTTGTTGAGGGCCGCGACGCGGCGGGCCTCGGCGGCGTCGTGCTCGCGGATGCGCCGATCTTCGTAGGCGGCGACGTCTTCGGACGTGATGGTCAGGGTTGTGGCGGGCCGGCGGAGCATGGTCGCGGACTGTCGGCTCGTTTGGGGGGGCGGGAAAGGGGCTTGCCGAGCAAGCTGGAGAGCGAGAGGGGTGTACGCGATACGCGGACACGCAGGTGTTGGGCTGCTGGATCTTCGGGACGGGATAAGGCGAGGCGAGGCAGCTCGGTGGTGAACCTGACTCTGGTCTTTCGCGTGGCAAGGGCTCAAGCCCAAGAGGGAGGGGGGCCCAGTGGTCGGCACTTCTTGTGTGAGGGACGATTCTTCAGCGGACCATACAGCTGGTGATTTTCGGGTGTGGAAGGGCTGTTGTGAATTGGGTTTCGGGGGGCCATGCGCATGGAATCCTTGTACTGTTGCAGTTGCGGTTGGCGCTCCCGATACAAACGCGACTAGTGACGACAGGGACGTGACGTGACGGTGGGGGTTCGGCCGCGTGGGGTCCGCGTCGGGCTGAATGCACGCTGTGGCTTGTGCTGTGGGGCTTTGCATCCTTCAGCCTCGGGGCCTTCAGGGGCCTTCCGCGGCCTTCAAGGGGGGCCCTGACACCGACTACACTCACTCCACTGCTCATCAACCTCCATGTCGAACCTCTTCTCTTCACTGCGTCTCGTGATCACCCTGGTTCTCCTTCGACAGCATTAAAAATTCCACTGATTACTTCTCCCCCGCTGAATTGGGGTACCAGAGTCTACTGTCTGACGTGCTCTTCGAAACGCCTACGCCAACATGGAAATAGTTCTGCGCCATGCCGCTGCTCTTCTTCGGTCATGTTCCCTATCCTCGCCCCCATGCCGGCGAAGCGTACGAATTCTCCGCCTCCCACCTGAGAAACTCCCCCAAATCATGAAAAAGGTTGAAGCCCATTGGCACGGCGTCCCTTTCGCCGTGAGCCCCACCTAGGTACACGACATCCAGCTCGGGGCTTTGCCGCAGACTATCGATGCTCCCCTGACTATCCTTCTTGTACCGCTTCTGTGGCCCGTCCATGGTCCACCGTTTGATATTGCAGTGGCCTTGGTCCTGCAGAAACTTAGACGCGTCAACATGGCCTGCGTTCCAAAACCCCGTGGGATACTCTGGCGCCACGGGAATAGGCAGATCGGCGTCTGTCGAATCCGTAAACGTAGAGGCCGTCGGTGAAATCGTCTCTGCTGTCGTCATGCTCAGCGTCTTATCGCTGTGGCGACGTGAGGAGATCAAGAGACCGTGGTTTTCGAAGCCAAAGTCGGCGAACCAATTCGCGAGCTCGTCAATCTCGTCCGCCTCGGTCCGCGGCGCGAAATCCGAGGGGTCCGAGAAAAAGTCGCCAGCGCCGCCCAAGATGGCCATCTGAAAGGCCGTCCAGTCAAGCGTGTCATCGGCGGCAATCTTCCTGCCCTTGACCACCTCGGCCTTGGGGAATCGGATGCGTCCATGGCGGAATCCAGGCACCGTTAGGGTGCAGGGAGTTGAGGCAAAGAACACGAAATCTTCGTCGTGGACAGGGGCAAATGTCCGGCCCCGATGAAAGACCCTCACCTCTGCCGCAGGCATGTTGTCGTCTTTGTCAGGAGTCGAGGCGGTGACGAGAAGCTCGGGTATAGTAGACAGCGGTCGGCTCTGCTGCGCTGTCCTGGAAGGGTGGCGAGGCGTGTTCTTGGCGGGCGGGCAAGGAAAATGTTGAGCGTCTTGAACATCATCTGATTTTCGGCTTTGGCATCCGCCTTTCCACATGTCCTCGATGTTCTCCTCGCGACAGAAAAGTCTCGTCGCACAGGCATTTCAAATGGAATTGGTCGTGATACAGCACCACTTGGTGCGACCGATGTCTGAACCCCGGCCGCCCCGATTCGAGAAGGTAGATCTTGCAGATGAAACGGTTCTACCGGGGTTTCGCTGTCCTCGGTGAACAGAGTCTCGGAAGAGCGCGTCTGGCGTAGCTGGTAATCTCTGCTGAGTCTCGCAACCTGGAGGCGGTCCGGCGCCAGCATCTCGTTCGCCTCGATCTTTCGGAAGAATTGTGCTTTGAGCATGTCCGTCACACTTTCGCCGAAAGCCCACCGCGGCGTCCGCTTCGAAGATGTTGTAGGCCTTCTCGCAGTCTTGGACTTTTTTGACTTGGTCTGCTTCGGTTTGTACACGGATGCCCTCCGCGCCGGCACAACGGGAGGTGTCATGCACTTTGTTGGCTGCCTTTCGAGTGTAAGGCGTGCCGGTGTGCGCCAGGGGGCACTTGGAGTACTCGGCAGCGGTGGGGACAAGGCAACGTCCGGCTCTGTGGAGGTGACAAAGACTTGTGGGGTGAGCTGCACCTGAGCAAGCGCTGCGCCAACCGCGTGGAAGGCTTCGTCTGTTTCTTTGATGAGCTGCTGAACCGTCTCGGACCAGTCGTCGACCTCCACCTCTTCTTGGCTCTCTACCACTGCTTCCTTGACCGCCATAGTGGGCTCTGCGGCCGCGCCGTTGTCCCTATCAACAGCGAGGTGGTGATGATGCGTAGGTTCGATGGCTGATTTCAGAGGCGATATGTTTTGTAGCGGCGTGATCATGAGATGCCTGCGCTCTGAGAGGCGTTTGGGTGTTGATTGTACATAGAGGGGATCAATGTCTCTCTGTGATGAACAAAAGTTCGCATCATGGGAGTTGCCTTTGACACTCGGTTCCGTGTAGTAGTTATCGAAGCTGTATATAGAGCTGCTGGACGAACGCGGGGAGTCAAAGGGCAAAGGGGGAAGAGGCCTCATGACCTGGTGGACGCTCTGTGATCTGTATACCAGAGGGGACTCGACCGGCTTCGTTTGGTACATGGCAGGCCGCGCCGAGTGCCTGTGCTGGTCAAGCTTCAATTGAGTAATTTCGCCGTGTTCGTCAAGCTCATCAGAATCACTTGGGGAATCTGGTCGATTTTGCGAGAGGAGTCTCCGTATGCTGAAGCTGGAGCGAGACAACATCTTGGAGGTTTCGGTAGGCGTGGTTTCTTCAAGGATTACATGGACTGGGGAAGGAGGTCCGGAGGCGGGACGGGTACAACACGGCATATATGTGGTATTTAGACAGACAAAGTGCCATGTTGGGGGTTCAGAAGGCGGGACTGCGGTCAGCCCAGACAAAGCGAGGAGCTTGGGTACTGTGAGGACAAGGGGGGAGGCGGGCGGGATGCCGAAAGGCCAGGATGAGGAGGAATGAGATATCAGCCCAAGGTACGTGACCCATCGCCCACATCGTAGGACAAGAAGGGCACCAACAAGCGACTTGCCAGTCCATGTTTGCCCAGCCCCGCGGGGGGCGACCACTGTGCTGAAGAAGTCTGGTATAGAGCAGGAAGAGCCGGCCGTGAAAGATCAAAGCTGGGGACAGTGGTCATCGGCTTGAGGTGGTGCGGCGGTGCAGTGCCTACCCTGCATGTTGCGCAGGCTTCACTAGTTGGTTGCGGCGGAAGTTGTTGGAGTGGTGTGATGCCCGTCCTCAAAGAATTCATTCCTGTCATTCTGAGGGGGCATCGGGTTCCGAGAAAGTTTGTAGTGATTGGCCGCCCCCATATCGGTGGTTACTATAACTGGTCGTTTGTCTTTCTCTCCTTGTTGACTTGAGGGGGGGCGGGAACGGCAAAGGGCACCAGGGTGGGTAGTATTGCATGTGCCGCAAACGTCGACACTAATAGCACAAGGCAGCAGAACAAGCAATGCAGCAAAGCCTGCTTAGCTTGTTGAAGACGCGGTAAAGGCTTCGAAAGAGACAAAGAGACTGACAATAACATTGAGCCCTCGAGGCCCAGAAGTCGCCGTCGCTGAGCTCAGACTGACTTGAATGCTGCAGCCATTTCCGTCTGATGAAATGAAGTTACCTTGCTTCAATGGAGTCGACCACGGGGAGGCAAGCATGCCAAGCTGGTCATCCAGGATAAATCCAGATGATGGGGTGATACGCAATGAGAGACAGTTCGGTCAGTTGCATTTGATCGTCAGAGGCGACTCGGAGGACTGGAGCTGTTCGGCTACTGTGCGACCAGGGCACGGCGACGTGCAGACAGAAGCATCCAGTGAAATGCGTGGGCAAGCTTCCGACGCTCCGGATGAGAGAATTCCTTGGGCCACCTTGGGCAAATTGCTGGACAGTGCATTGCGACTCGACTGTGGGCTTGGGCCTGGCGAGAAGAGAAGCGGCATGGCAATTTGGATTCATGGACCGAAGGCAGTACAAACATCGTGTAGGTGCCATCATGACAGATACAAGGGCTCGGAATCGTCATCTGAAGTTTCTGGGCACAGATCTGGAAGCCGATGGTGCCTCGTCTGCCGTGTAAGGCGTGGGATGACACGGTCAGCGAGTCAAGTCGGCATCCTTGCTTCAAAGTCTGTACGTTGCCGACAAACAGATGCCATTCTGGCTCCGCGAACCGGGATCTGATCCAACCACCGGGAACTGGCGGCCTGCCAACGCTGCATGCGGGCTGTCTTGAGGTGCGAGGCTTGAGTTGACAGCGTGGTAGATCAGCAGAGGGAGGGGACAGGCATGTGGTCGTGTTGTTGTTGAGGCAGCCTAGGCGACGACAACGAGTCCTACAGTGAATGTGATGGGGGCATAGACACGGTGGACTTGGATTGCTCTTGCCTTGAGCGGATCGGATAGGAACAGGCAGGTACCAACCATCAACTCACTCTCACATCTCGTGCACTCTCACATCTCGTGCATCTCTTTCTCATCATCGCCCTCTTTTGAACAGAACATTCATAAGATGGCCCCGTCGCGAGAGGCCTGACTTCCCAGCGACTGCACCCTCAGATCATCACCACACAAACACCACCACTCTCCAGCGCCTGAGCCCGTGGGGTTTAGACGCCCTATGCGCTAGTCGAGAGGGGAGACTGCCGCGGCCTACATATGCGCAGCCAAGCTGCATGCGACCCCAGATTTATCCACCTGCGTGCTGATTTCTGACATGGACCTTTCACTCGGCTGAGGCTGTGTGTTCCTTCCATTCTATTCAAGATCGGCTTGCTCGCAACCGACGAGGCAAATCATCTTCTCACGTCATTGTTACCATACCCTGACCCGAGTCATCTTCTCATGGCGTCCCAGGCAGCTGGCCCCTACCCAAACTCACAATGGTCCCCTGGCAAATCCTTTATTACTTCGTCAGCGGGTTCAGTCGTTCGTTTCCTGTTGACACCAAATGGCACCGGCAATACTCAACAGGAACAGTCTCGACTACAGGCAGACGAATCATGCGGAATTTCAACAAAGTAGGCGACAAAGTAGATTTGATTGTTGGGGCAGTTTGGCCCTCCCGTTGGTATCATTTTCCCCCTTTCTGGTTCCGCATCCTCGGCAGCTTCAGCTCGCTTCGCCATCTGCCCGGCCCAATCTCACCGCCACGAGACTCGTCATTCAGACCCCAGTATGCCCCAGCCTCATAATCTATCCTTTGCGAATAGGTGACAGCCCCTGCGTTGGGGGCGAGGCGATTATCTCGCCAGGGTATCTTCATGTATCGCAAGCGCTAAGCGCCAGTCACATGTATGTTTGTATGGAAGGGGGGGGGGGAGTCCCCGCGGACCCGCTGATCACCACCGACCACTTCGCCAAGAAGGATTTCGTGGGGTCCGTTCTCCTCCCCAGACTGGCCGAGCAGACCTGCCGCCCGGCTTGTCAAGAGTGCTTTCTTCAACGTCCATTCCCAAGCCGTGTCAGCCGGCTTGGAGACGTTTTCGCACGTCGACCGTCGACCGCGGAGGCGAGGCAGCAGAGTGCCATCGCGACTAGATAGCAGCAAAAGAGCCGTTTCGTGTGTGGGCCATTTTTTGTTTGCTCGGGTGATCCCGCTCGCGCAGTTGGGTTTGGGGCGCGCGGCGACGTTGATTAATACATTGGGGTGCGTGGTAGCGCCACGCTTGCCAGTTTGTGTCGAACCATGAGGGCTTCAGAGAATTTCGTTGGCCTTGCGCATATGCCTCGGCGTCGCGGTCTTCAGAAAGTCTGTTCTCGCGTGCGTCGGCACGTAGGCTT